ACAATATTATGACAGTTTCGACTACTTTGCACCCTCTTATGAGAAAAAAAAGGAAGACCTTTCCTTGTACATAGTTCGCCAACAGCGTATGTAGATGCCTGGAACAAGTGGAATTGATGTAGGTCAATGTGCACTCTTTCACTCATCCTGCTGCACACGACAATGGGTCATCCCTGATAAGAAACCATATTACAATCAAAATGCCAGCTAGAGGTCATCCACTCCTTGCTTGTTCTTGGAGAAAGCGGATATGAAAGAAGCTAATAACGAATATGTATAGAGCTTCGTTGCGGGAAGCCTGCAGAAATTTGCAACACACTCTTCAGTAACATCCTTCATTTTGAATCTTGCCTCAACATTACGCTTTTTTCATTGAATTGGATCATCCTTGATTTGAACTTCAAGGAACCGCCATGGTTGACGCACTCCATGTCCATCGTCTACCCACGTCTGCAAAGTGAGAGCTCCTGTTTCCAGCCCGCAACCCCACCCAGGTCGTCAAGGTAGTCCCTCCGTTTCTTGGAGACGCTGGCTTAATGAATACCAGCAGATAATGAAGCCAAAGCAGGTATGACCAATGTTAATTGGGTGGTTTCAAGCGTTTTGTAATAGTCGTGTAGTAAATAAAGTGGAGGGGGTGAAGAGACTTCTTGCCAACGGCTGGAATGGAGCTCGCAACTGTCAGCCGAAGGTCTTGCCAGTCAAGCTATATATATGGCGGTGGTCGTTCCCTCACCCTTATTACAAAGGATATTTATGTGCATGAAACCTCGTTATCATTGCGGTGAGTGCGAAACACTTTTCCACCTGGCACTTTCGCTCACTGGACCGTGTACAACTGGCTGCACTGCGTACAACTGGCTGTAGGGTGGTGGTGGTGGTAGTGGTTAGAAAGAAGAGGAAAAAGGCACCTAATTTCTGTCTGCCTTCAGGCGACACGGCGCAGTGCCTTATAGGGTTGGGGGAAGGAGGGATAAAAAGAATAGAAGGAAAATAGACGAAGAAGTAGACAGGCAAGCGACGGAAAAAAGAAGGAGATAGGAAAGTGGGGATCCGGTCGAAGCAGTCCAAGGGCGGGGCGCCACAATGCGAGAGCTGCACGGCGTCAGGAGACCGCGGAGGGCGAACCAGTTGGCGGGAGCTACTCTGGCGTCGGAGATCGCAAGGGCACAACCGTTCAGCTTGAAATCCTGCGAGGGAATCTCTGTAGGGACCACAACACACGCCACATTCCGCGCTATGAACGCAGCTTTCCTTTTCTGGTCTCTTCACCTCGCACCTTTTGCGCCTCCTTCCTCACACAAAGGCTAAGCCGTGCTCTCAGATAGGCCTTTCAGAAATACCGTCCTTTCTTCATCCCATTCTTATCACTCTCTCTCACTGCTTGTCTGAAAAGGAGAACCAAGGGGTCTTAAAAACGATGATTGATTGATTTGTGGGGTTTAACGTCCCAAAACCACCATTTGATTATAAGAGACGCCGTAGTGGAGGGCTCCGGTAATTTTGACCACCTGGGGTTCTTTAACGTGCACCCAAATCTGAGCACACGGGCCTACAACATTTCCGCCTCCATCGGAAATGCAGCGCCACAGCCGGGATTCGATCCCGCGACATGCGGGTCAGCAGCCGAGTACCTTAGCCACTAGACCACTGTGGCGGGGCAAGGGGTCTTAAAAACGAGGCCCACCGACCTCTAGAGAGCAACCCGGTCAAATTATTATTTTCTTCATGTAGTAGTTATCTTATTATTTCAAAGTATATTGGCTACACAGATGTGACCTGTCTCAAGTACTTTTTTTTCGTGAGGCACGCCGAGCGGCTCTCTTTTGTTAAAAATGCAAACGTAGAACAAAAGTAAGGTTTTTTTTCCTTTTAAGTCGTCATTCATATTTCAGCCATTCCAAAAATACGTAGCGGTTTAATTCCCGAAACTTGATCTTAAGCCCCCTTTACTAAAAAGTCATAAATGAACCAAAGGAAAAGGCTTTATACAAACGGCAATGTTCACTGACTTTTTCTTAAATGCAGGTTGAAATTGCTACGTTTATCATTCGAACCTTACGACCGGTACATCCCGGAAAAGAACGAAATAACATGGCACGAACATCCGAGATATGGCGTGTTAATTTGAGCTCTTCTGCATCGAATTATAGCATTATGAAAGATGGAATAGCAGCTGGAGCATTTGCGAGCAGCATTATTACGGCTCTCGATTTCCGCCGGAAGCGGGCAACAGGTTTGACAGAACGAACGCTTAAACGTTAAAACGCAGGTACATGCTCGTAGCGGTACACAGTAAATAAGTGTGGAGAGACACAAATAAGCAAACTGTAGCGACAAAATACGGGCACAGCTAGAGGAACAGAAAATAAGACGTTTGTTATGGTGGAGGCTCGTGCTGCTTCTGCTGAAACCACTGGCTGCTGTCTTGTCGCTGCGTGGCTCATGAAACAGTTGCCTTACCAGGGTGTCGAAAAGTATTCCTACATTTGGTGGAGGTGCTGCTTTTCTCAACCTGGAACTCTGTTCCTGGACTCTACCAGCCTCGCCAAGGCCTGACGACATGACCCAGCCACCTGCAGTCTTAATCCTATCTGTCACCTCTTCTGGAACTCCACGACAGCGAGATACGGTGATTTTCAACGCGACCGACCACCAAGATATTGAAGGCTGGCTGTCCCAGTACGAAGTGGTAAGCGCTCACAATAAGTGGGATGACACAGACAAGCTCGGTTACCCTGATTTGTATCTCGCGGGCGTTGCACAACTGTGGTTTAAACCACAACCATAAAGCTGAAACTCCCTCTTGGTCAACCTTTGAGACGTGCTTCGCGGAAGTTTTCGGCTGACCCGCTGTTCGCAAGCTTCGCACCGCACAGAGCTTGCGCGGCCGCACACAGCGCTCTGACGAGATCTTTACATTGTATAACAAGAATCTCCTGGACCTCCGCCATCGTTTCTATCTCGACATGTACGACACTGACAAAATACGGCACATTATGAAAGACGTCGAGGACGACGCCTTTCACGTGCTTTTCGCGAAAAAAAAAAAACTAACCGTCGCCCAGCTTATTCAGCCCTGTCAGAGTTTCGACGAGCTGCAGAGAGAGCGGATTTCTACTCGGCGTCCAAACCTCGACACAACCTCTACATCTGGGTTAACCATTGGCGCTGTTTCCTCCGAATAAACCACGTTAATGCAGCAAATCCAGCAGTTTGTCCGAGAAGAAGTTTCGCGCCAATTGTTTCTTGTGCCGTACGTCCCGACCAGTGCGCACACGCTGACCTCAACTCTCCGCAAGGCAATGGAAGAGCAAGTTTCTGACGCCCTGTTTCCCACATACAATCCTCCGCCTATCTCCGCACCTCTGAATAATGCTAGGGCCGCACGACGAGCGTCGCCGTCGCTACCACCCGTCATTGATTTATCAGACGTGTTCTCACTGAAAACGACCAACTTTATCGGGTGAACGCCTACCGCAGTTTAATCGGGTACTTTATCGGGTAAACGCTATACCGCAGGTAACGATATTCACGGCTGCGCAGCTGTAATGTCGGCCCAACATGAATGCGGCTTCACAGCTGCCTATCTAATTTCATAAGCATTGCATTCATTACATGCAGGCGGCATGTCACGTTAACGTCAATCGTGGTTACAGTTTTGGCTCCGCTTTTGTAGCCGTCTAATAGATACTACTCTTATAACCCTTTGACTCAGCAAACTATGCTGTTACGGGTAGCTTGTTTAGTTAACAAAAGCACTGGGTGGAATAGATGGCACCACCCCAGCAAAAGTGGCCGTCGTCTTTCTCCTCTTTCATGCAGCCACGCAGCGGCGGCTGCTCTGTATCATCAAAGCCCCCCGGCGGTAGAAGCCCCACCTCAGTGCTTATTCTGCATATGTGGTCAACGGACGGGAATAGGGCTTGAGTCGAGCTATGTGAACGATGTCGCCCGAAGCTGACGATCATGGCGTTAGATTGGTTGGAACGATCTCACATGTAACGTCAGTCACCTGGTGAACGACACGATATGGTGTGGTTTAGTGTGAGAGAAGTTTCTCAGAAAGCCACACACTCCAACGGTTGACCAAAGAAGAACAAAGGGTCCTGAGATATATTACGCGTGTATACGGTGAGAACCATACAGATCCAGCGTCGTTTCAGCCGGAGGAATACGCTAACGAAAGCTACGTACGAAATGCACGTCATCACCTTACAAGGTGCACTTTCCTTCGGTGATACCGACGACTGTAATCAAACATAAGCGCTTAAGTTACTCCAGACCATAATTTACTATTCAAACGCCAGTTTAGTCTTCGTTCCTGGTAAGAACACGATGTGCACACAACTACTCCACTGGCAAAAAAGGAAGAAGAAAACGTCGATCCAATTCGTAACTCTTGGCTCTAAGCAAAAAAAAAAAAAATGCAGCCTAGACCTAACTCGCCGGATGCTTCGCATGAAACCGATTCTCACAAGGCGTGGTATCTTGGAGAGAGCCCAGGATCTCAGAAAACTCCCCCTGCAATCTGTGACTGCATTTGGACAGAATGTACAGTGCGAGTAGCTATCATGTTTAAGAGCATGGCCGGAAATCTGTATTCAAGACTATCTCCTTCTAGAGTGGGTACAACGAAACTTTTTTTGTTTGTTTCTAGGGGTCACGCTGGCTGCAAATCGAGGGAAATTGTGTTACTTTCTCACAAGAGCACATTGATATGAAAATTAAAGCTTAATTTCGTTATATATATATATCATAATTCCTAATAGTTTTGCTAAAATATTCAGAACTAAACCTCTGTGTGGCACATGTGAAGCAATCCTACAAGATTTTAGCCATATCTTTAGCGCCTAAATCCGAGATTTGAAACGCCAACCTCAGCGTAGACGAAACAATGACACCGGCACTGCAGAGCAGTAAACGCCAGAGAAGCACGGATGACACGTAGAGAACGCCAGAGAAAACGAAAATCCCGCCGAGTCTCGCGGCGTACGCACCTTGCCAAAAAGTGAAGCAACCACAGCTGAACGGTGATCACAGTCCTTTCGCACGCAGCCACAATGCCCATGGCTGAGGTTTAGGTTCGGACGACCCGGTTGTTGTCCCCGTGATGTCCTTTGAGGAGGGGGTCCGGCGCACTGTACAACGGAGGCGGCGCACGGAGAAAGGTGGGCGAGCCTGGGTATACCTCGGGTTGGTGGTTATAACGAGCTGCCACGAAGCGAGCACGCCTTGGTATATTCACAACACTCGGGGGAAAAAAAAAATGAAACACACCGGGTTGGAGGAATTCGAAGAATACCCAGGTTACACCGCCTCCACCGTTGACGATCCCGACCCCCCGGGGTTTTGCGAGCAGAGGTAACCGCAGATACGGAGCGTCTTCCTTCCTTTTATGCGAGCCGCAGGTGCGCATCGTGAGCTGAGAGGAGGAGAGAGAGACGCGATAACGAGGCGCCCTCCTCTGATGAGACTGGGAAAGGGCGAGGACAGGGGATTCGACGATGACGGTGGTGAGGACGTGGAGAGAGAGGGAAGATGAAGGATGTCAAGTGTCGGAGCACCTGGCTGCGGTGCGGTTTCGTCAATGACCGCGGTGAAAGGCAGATCTATAACACGGGGTTTTTGACGATGTTATTTGGCGTGATACGACATACAGGCAGTGTTGTAGAGTTGCCACTCCGGAATAGAAATAAATCCGGAATCGTTCCACATTTTCGCGGTCCCGGAATGGAATAGGAATGGAATGGCGACAAAGCTTGGAGGAATGGAATAGGAACAAAATTGAATGCATTTTGTCCGGTATGGAATGGAAACGTAATGGCGTCCTTTTCCGAAAATAGAGCACTCTAAAATCGACGTGCTGCTTTTAAGCTTCAAACGTTGGTAAATAGCAATAAAGCAGTAATCTAAAGAAGATTGGCTGATAACAAGTAAACAACATTCCTAATATATTTCAATAATGACATATATGCGTTGCTCCAACGTTCTTCTTTCTTCTTCGCCTAACCACGGCTGTATCCGTCGTGCGGAACTGTGGTAGCAAGCAGCATGACCCCCACCCAGCTGCCGTTACGCCTCCCGAATTTTTTCCGCTTGATGGCGCCTCAGCAGCCTGCTATCTCCCCATCCGCCGATTCTTTTTTTTTTTTGCTTATGTCACCATCGTTGACTCCGATGCATATTTGAAAAAGCGCTTCTGTAACTTGTGATGCGTATTGACGCTGGCCCGACGCTAGTTTGCAAGCTTTTGTCTACCAGCTTGCGCGTCGTCTCACCTCATATCACTTACCCCCCCCCCCCTTTTTTTTTTTTGCAGAACGGTTCCTCTGCCTTTACACATGTATGGGCACCTTTTCTCGAAACACTACCACAGAGGTCTGTAGGTCAGTTCAGCACACATTCATACACGATGAACTGCGTACCCTGTGCGCCATGAACTGTCGTACGAAATGAACCGCACACACACACACACACACCACACACACACACACACACACACACACACACACACACACACACACACACACACACACACACACACACACACACACACACACACACACACACACGCACACACACACACACGCAGAGAGAGAGAGAGAGAATAGACTTCTGAAAGCACTGATTCTGGTAACCAGCCAAAGTAGGTGATCCCACGTAACCAAGATGGCGCCTCTTCGAATTATCACCCAATGATTCGCTATGTCGTCATTGTTGCATTAACACATTTAAGCCTAAACAAAATAAAACAACACCATTCGTTCAAACATGCACTCTTAGAAAAAAGAAAATCTGCATATTCACCTACTAAATACTAATGGATACTAATGGTTTACTTGTCACAAAAAGTGCTGATTTCTCAGTAAGTGAAGATAGTAAAATGCAAGTTAGTGAAACTTGCTAGTTCGCTAAGTACATAGTGAAGAGTGCTGAATAGAATGTTTATTACATTATCAAATTGTTAATGTGAATTTATATGTGTAGGCACATCGCCATATGAAAATAACTTTCACAAATATATATATATATATATATATATATATATATATATATATATATATATATATATATATATATATATATATATATATATATATATATATATCATAAGCGATATGCCATAATACAGTAAATTAGTGGTACCTAACAACTTCATCTAATTACTATGGCAAATACGCATCACAGCAACATACATAGCGGCATGAACGAATGTGTGTTGAGAAAAAGTGGTGAAAGATTTAGAGTACTTAGTACTCTACTATGGGAGAGCTTAGGCTCGACGTTCCAAGTATACCATTGCTACGCAATCGCGCCCCCAAAATATCATGACGTAGTCGGTATATACTGTAGCAGCCGTCTGAAGGCTAATTATGCTCCTACTTTGTGTACTGGTTAACAGCCATAGAACTTCGACAAATATTGGACGTTTGGTACACGTCATTTCCGGTGCTTTTGCTTGCATATATGTGTGTCATCGCTTAGCACGAAAATTTTATTCCAAAGTCAGCAACAACAAAATTAAGGTTGGCATGCTATAGAAAAAAAATTGCCCGCAGCTTCCCTCGGGGGAACACTGAGGAGGATGCGGAGCATATAATTGGTTAACGGGGTGTTAAAGTGCGACTTACTTGGGTCGATGGCTAAATTGGTTAACGTGGTTGTGAAATGGGGTGTTAAATTGCGACTTACTTGGGTCGATGGCTAAATTGGTTAACGTGGTTGTAGAAGGGGGTGTTAAATGAGTGAACACGTACACACGTATGCGAAAGGGCGGCGCTGGTCGAAGGGACGTCGATCATTGTGTTTGTGGATTCGTTGGAATTCATTTCACCGCGACCTTGGACGTCGACGCGCCGTACAAACTAACCGACGAGCGGCAACTGAGCGAGCGAGCACCGACCTTGAGTATATATACAGCTCGACGGCGCATGCACTGTCAGCTGTTGAATGTTCTCGAAGCGCGACGCCACATGCGCGTCCACTGGAGAATCAGGAGAATTGTAGATGTCGAACGCGGTGTGTAGAGGAGGAAGGGTGCACAGATGGTGGAGGAGTGAAGCACGCGCGGTGTGTAGAGGAGGAAGGGATGCACAGATGGTGGAAGAGTGGGCGACGGCGCGACGGCGCATGCGCGCGCGTCAGCTGTCGAATGTTCGAGAAGCGGTGCGGACGGCGCGGACGGCGCACTACAAGGCGCGAGTATAAGATGCTTCCGCATCTAAAACTTTATTTAGGTCCGTCGGGGCGTGAACCAGCATTCAGCGAGCCGCTCCAACGTCAATACAGATAGGCTGAACCTCTTAACTCGAGGGCCCGTTGAACTGCCATAGCTGAGTCTTTAAATCCGTACTGCGTAGCGCGACATCCCATTAGAACGATGTAACGTCTTCAACTCGTGACGCAGGGCACCGCCAAAACATGTGGTTTAAGCTGCCAAAGTCTGAGAAAAGCATGCACGTGTTTGACGCCTGAACGTCTGGATAAATTTTGTGCAAGAGTGCGGGACTAAAATATGCCCTGAGCTGCAAGAGTCTGAGCGCCCATGCCTGAGGCCTGTTCAGTTTACTGTGCGGTGGCGGATACTTTCGCCTCCTCAGATAATAGTTCCCGGCAAGTTCATCGTACGTCGTTGGGGATCTTTGTTGTCGAGTACCTTATCGCCACGTCGTTCAGTAGCTACGTGGTCGGCAGCTCCTCTCGCAGCTTTGTGCACCGACTAGTTGAGGTTGAATGGTGCACCCTCCATCTGCCTCATGCGAGCAAGGAACCAGACAATTGTGGGTTGCTGTACTTCCCTATTTCACAGGATCTGCAAGGCCGATTCCGATATGGTGGCCTTAGCGAATGATCGGACGACTGATCTCGAGTCACTCTATATTGATTCTTTTCCGTACGTCTAGCAGGGCCAAAGCAATTGCGACCTCGGCCGCTGTGGTTGAAGTCTGTCTAATTTTTTTAAAGAGTGTCACAATTGCTGTTAGATATACGGCGATGTTTATTAGAAATCTGGTATCGTATCTCCAACGCAACAAAGGAGAAAGCAAAAGTCTTCAGCCTACACGTTCTTTCACAAAACGACTTAGGCGCGGGCCACGGGAGTGCATGGTTTTAGCAACAAGCGCAGTAACCAGGAGTTCATTACGGGGTTAAAACTGTAATAGTAAGGTGTTACGATCCACAACCACCATATGTTCACCATGAGGCACCGTGTAAAGAATGCTTCCGGAAATTTCGACCATCTGATCTTTAAACGCACAATGACACCGCACAGTAGACTGGCCTCTATCATTTCACCTCTACCAAAATGTAACCACCGCGGCTGGGATTGAACACGAGACCACAGGGTCTGCAGCCGAGTACTATATACCCACTGATCCACCTCGGCGGACAAACCTAACCCGTCTTCTCACGCTATGTAGCACCTGCATAGGGTCCTTTCCCGAAAATATCGTTACGCGGTCGGTGACTTCTATACAAGGTGCATTTAGAGGACAACCACAGGCAAGTGTCACAAGGCTGATTGGCACTCTCGCATGCCTGTCAACTGCCTCTGCCCTTCGTCTTCCTTTACTTCGTCTATAGGACCCCTAGAGGGTGCTGGAGCGCCGTCTCGGCGCGAGTCCGGAGAAGTGCGAGAGAAGTAGAGTTCCATGCACGAAACATGCACAATGTCAACAAGTGACGAACTTGGTGACGTATTGGAGTGCAATGGCGCTATCTCACAGTCTACGTCGCTAACTTGACGTAAGACTAGGTAGGTCCTGGCGTATCGGGTAAAGAGTTTTTGGGGCGAAGCTCCTTATAGCGACACCTGTTCGTCCCACATTGCTGTTGTAGTGTGTAACAAGTATAACATTTTGACCCCCAAGGTGGTGCTGGTGAGAGATTTCTTCTGTGCGTTGTTCAACAATAAAAGATAGTGCTCAATGTACATGCCAATGGCTGCTAAGGGGTAGAGACAGGAGCATTCGGCTTTTAGGTAACGCGCACGCTGCGATCCCCATTAGCATCCATTAGCATGTACATTGAGCACTATCTGACAAGAAAGGGTTGCTACGTTATACTCGCTGGGTGTAACCTCCTTAGTTTTATAAAGGTTTAGCGAGCGTTGGGCCGCAGTGCCATGAATACAGTGAACTGGTATATACCATGAACTCGAGGTGGTTAAAGGTGGGAAGTAGACCCGAAGCGCAAGCCGTAAGAAAGTGTGCGTGTGCCATCTCTCGTTTAGTCCTTGGAATGTCCCCTGAATGGCGGTGCTTCTATATGGGGAATATATGATGAAAAGATGCCAGATGGTGGTACTTGGAGTGTTGAATAGATGGACGAACGGACACACAGACAGATGCATGGATGG